GTTTTATAACCTGTTAATCAAAAACATTTTATTCACACTGAGCTGCCCTGAGCAAATATATTTGCTGATTAATATATTATTTTCTGACCAATATGAGACAACAGTAATGTCAAAGTAAAATGTATACTCACAAATATCTTCCATGTCAGCTTTAGGAGTGAGTGTCTGCCTTCTGTGTCTGAGGTGAGACTTAACTGAGCACAAAGGACAGTATTTGCTGTAATGTATACCCTGTTGGCATACGTGGGCGAGACTACAGTACGCCCATGTTGTTTTACATTTATTGAATTCCATCAGGAAGGTGTGAGGACAAGATCATGTGTCAACAATGGCAAGAATCATTTCTGGGGAACTGAAACTTATGAACAACAATAATGTACTGTAAATAGAAACAACAACTTTACTTTTAGAGTGCTCCTTCTAATCAGCATTTTTTGAGGTCACTCACTGGTCTCACTGTAAAGTAAAAAGCCTTTCCTGCACTAATAATTCTTTAACGCTTTTAATTCTTATTCTTGACTGAGAGTAAGAGGTCGAAACCCTTTTTTCACATCTGCAACGTAATGAATAATAACCAGTTTGCTTTTTGTGAGGAAAAAGACAAGAAAGAGTACTTTTTATTACAGTAATCTTTACTTCAATCTTGAAACAGAAAACTTGGCTGCATAAAAGTCCACAGTGCTCATTTGACCCAGATTTATCCAAATTCCCCCTCTGGGTAGGTCTGTCATTCTGTACCAACTTCAGAACAGTAGAGGAACAATATAAACAACAACACACCTTAATAATGAAATAATATAGACAGACAGGAAGAGAGACACAGACCTTTTCAGCACTTTAGGGAAAAGTATCAGTAATGAAAATTGCATGAGTGAGAAAAAGGCACCAGTTTTAAAAACATTTAAACACACAGACAAGCAGGAAAGTGATACAACTGTATTGATCCAAATGGAGATTCTGCATAAAGTGACTGATCACATGTCTCTTTAGTGCAGCTGTGTAGCTTCTGATCAAGTGAGCACATCCAGGCTGCATTCAGACTCCCTCTTTATCAAAAACTAAGTCCTTTCATGTGTCCTCAGTAACCTTTATAAATAAATATTGTTCAGAATGTGAAGTTTTCTAATATTTGGTTCTGATTGATTTCAAATATATTAGATGTATATTTTCATTGTTTCTTTATTTTGATTCAAAGGGGTTTTATGAATGTTGGTAAAAATGCATTAATACAGAAAATAATACATGAGGTTGCCAGTATGTGAGGTGAATTTCCAAATGCAAACACAAATATCATTGAGTACTACTTTTTTTATATGATTAACATTTTTTATTTCAACAACACAATAAAGACAACAGCCCTTTTCCACAAGGTACACTGTCATATGGTCCAAACAGCGAAAGACATTTTTCACAACATGCAATGCAAACACTGTTGATTAATATATCAAAATATAATATACAGTACTGTGCAAAAGTTTTAGGCAGGTGTGAAAAAATCCTATAAACTTAGAATGCTTTCAAAAATATAAATAATAATGTTTATCAATTTTAAAAATGCAAAGTGAGCGAACAAAAGAAAAATCTAATTCAAATCAATATTTGGTGTTACTACCCTTTGCCTTCAAACCAGCATCAATTCTTATAGGTACACTTGCACAAAGTCAGGGATTTTGTAGGATTATAGTCAGGTGTATGGTCAACTAATTATACCAAACAGGTGCTAATGATCATCAATTTTACATGTAGGTTGAAACACAGTCATTAACTGAAACAGATGTGTAGGAGGCTTAAAACTGAGTGAGGAACATCCAAACTCTGCTACCAAGGTGAGGTTGTGGAAGACAGTTTTATGTCACAGGTCATACACCATGGCAAGACTGAGCACAGCAACAAGACACAAGGTAGTTATACTGCATCAGCAAGGTCTCTCCCAGACAAAGATTTCAAAGCAGACTGGGGTTTCAAGATGTGCTGTTTAAGCTCTTTTGAAGAAGCACAAAGAAACAGGCAACGTTGAGAATCGTAGATGCAGTGGTCAGCCAAGAAAACTTATAGTATAGTATTATAGTATAACATATATAGCACTATATGAAAAACACATCAAGCTTATTTCCCTTCGAAATCGGAAGATGTCCAGCAGTGCCATCAGCTCAGAACTGGCAGAAACCAGTGGGACCCATCTCTTCATGGAAGAGTAGCAGCCAAAAAGCCATACCGCTGACATGGAAACAAGGCCAAGCGACTCAACATAAGAACTTTACATTATTTTTTACAAGGTCTCAGACCTTTTATCAGCTCCTTAGGCCAGTGCCAGCTGGTGCCACTTTCTAAGCTTTACAAATACTGAGTCTTCAAACCTTAAACAACACACCATGGGTTCCTCTATGCAGCAGTGTAAGACGTTACTGATGTACACAATGGATATAAGAACATAGCAAAAGTGTTCTCAGCTTGAAGTTTCCACAGTGTGCAATGAAATGTAAGACATGGCAGTTTAGGGGAACTGCAGAAGTCAAGATGAGATCTGGAAGACCAAAAAATCTTTCTGAGAGAACTGCAAACTATATGCTACACAGGTTATTTTTTTAGGTTTTTATTTGGATTATTAGAAAATCTCAAAACATTCAGGTGCAACCAAAAGATGTACTGTTATAACTGACATGTTAAAAAAAAGAAAAAGTAACTTACACTGTTTAGATGTCACTATAAGTGTTTTTGACCAGCGTCTGGGCAATGAACAAGAAAAACTAAACAATATTAGGAATGCGTATTGATGGTACGATTTGTATCAATCCAATACATTACCATATTGTGTTTTTTTTTAATTGAGCACACCACCATATGCAAAAAGTTTACTTTTTTTATGCAGTTTATCAAAGTCTCTGTAATTTCCAACATCACAGGAAAATAAGATGGTCTCCTCCAGTGTTTCCCAAGTGCTAGGAAATGAGCAGCTGCAGCAGTTTGGTGACCACCACAACATTAAGGCTGTTTCCTAGAACTCTGTACTTCTGCTTGGTAGTGATCTGCTCTGGAAAGGCTGCAAAATAAACACATTTAAATAAAATTTAGAAAGACACACAATCCATCCAATAGTGTAAAAAAAAAACTACATTTCACTTCAGACTAGAATATATAAAGTATATGAATGCAATAGTAATATGTTATTTGGGGCATTTTTAAAAATCCAATTTTGCTTTTTGAAACATGGATGTCCTTCAGTTTTAAACTCATACTACTACTACTTTTTACAGATTTTGAGAAGTGACCATACTGCCTGTCTGAAAAAATAAAAGACAGTGGAAGTCAATCAGTTAATCCATACAATGATGTAATAATTACTAAATTATGTACAATGTTAAACCAATTACTTTTAGAGTAATTTGTATGGCCAGGATAATTTATATGTAGCAGTTATTAAGAATAATTCACACATTTGAATGTTTCACACAACAACAGAGAACAAACATGAAGCAATTGACCCTTCCTTAGTCCTGACATTTTTTTGCTATGAGCTCCAATAACAGTCAAGCAATCTTAAGCCAGAACCTTCTCCTTTCCTGTACTAGATATGCTATGTGCTGGGCTCATCTATGTAGGATTTAGTGGCATCTAGCGGTGTAGTTGCAAATGGCCCTATCTAGAGCCAGCGTTTGGTTTGTCCCTTCTGTAGAAACACACAACTACTCACGCCCTCAGCATAGGTAGTTGCAAACATCTGGACATTTTAAACTTACAGAAGCTTTGAGGGAAGCCCATGAGGTTGGCAACTTCTTTGGGAGTAAAATAACGGAGCTTCAGTTTCAATAGCCTCTGGAGTTTCTCCTCTTCACAGCACTGGTCCAGACCTCTAAACACATTCTCCATCTGCAGAGCACACAAAGCTAAAACCTTCAGCATACTATGATAAAAAATGTCTGCTGTTCTGATGCTCATTAGGAATTGGTAAAGCTTAGCTTGGATAAGATGTTTTTTTTATTGATCCACCGTAGGAAAAATTCAAGTTAGGCACAGCAGAACAGAGGAAATGTAGTGCAAATAGCAAATAATAAAATAAAAACAAAATAAAATATAAAATAACGATGGCTATGTTCAATGAATGGATGACAGCAGAACAACAAATTAATTTATAGCTGATAAATTATCGATTAATAATAATTTATTTCAAATTCTTATGCAGAAGGTTTGACAGGCTTTATGTTCAAAAAAGCCAATCAATGTTTGTAGTGTTGTTTTTTTGATGAACTTTACTAGAAAAAAAAACTAAACACAAAAATTTGTTTGTTTTTCTAGATGTCAGTTAGATTTGATTAGAACAGAGCTATACTAAATCATCCATTTTTGCTCACTGCATCTCAGCATTTTTTTTTTTTTACCATCATTTGTTCATAGACTTCAGGTTTTAAACTTCTTTTTAAAATACTAAAAATGTAATTATGGATTATCTTATGCCAGGCCAATACCACCATGAGAAGCAGGTAATTATGACCTGAAAAAAATAATTACAAAAAGTTATACATTCACATCTAGAAGCTGGGTTAAGGGCCTTACTTAAAGGCACCTCAATGAGGAAGGGGCAAGTGGTGCTTTTTACTTTCCCCACCCAGATTTATCCTGCCTGCCACACTGAACTGTGGCAGCTGGCACACTTCTGTGGTGTCCACACAGAGCGTTTCTTCTGCCAGCCCAATCTTTCTACATACATTTAGTTTGTCTTTGATAAATAAAATATGCACATAAACACTAGAGAGCTTTTAATCTGAAACAGATACAGGAGCTGTTAATTTAATTTTTGTTTTATGTTTGCGACACTCCAGATAAATACACTGGACCTGCAGTGAAAGGTGTATATGTTGCTGGTATAATGTCAATATGACTATGAACTATTTTTGCTTGGAACCACTAATAAAAAAATCTCTTAGGTTGTATAAACCACAGACCTTATTTCAGGCATCTCACCAAAAAAAAACATTTACGGGGAGAGGGAACCAGAGAGGCTCACTCGGTTCTGGGTTTTAGGACTCATTCTTGCAGCACTCAATGTCTATGGCTATACACACATGGACAAAATTGTTGGTACTCTTCTGTTAAAGAAAGAAAAACCCACAAATGTCACTGAAATAACTTGAAACTGACAAAAGTAATAATAAATACAAATGTACTGAAAATTAACTAATGAAAATCAGACATTGCTTTTGAATTGTGGTTCAACAGAATCAATCAAAAACAAACTAATGAAATTGGCCTGGACCCCTGAACTTAATATTTTGTTGCA